CAGTGACGTCATAGTTCCGCCATTTTTTGTTCTGACGTCACGGTGACGTCGTACGCAAAGCCGTGTATAGGGAAAGTTACGACAACTCATTTACAGGCGCCATTTTGGTGTCCCAACTATAACGCCATAAAAACTATGACGTCATGGCGTCATATAGCTTTACTTAACAAAAAGTTTTATTTTTTTCTTGGTATAACGTTTTACGGGCTACAATTCATCCTAAACAATTTGCAAAAGAAACCAATGCAGTTTGGTTCAATGATAAATATGTCAGACGAAATCATACTCAAAATCGGCCAAAATGACATGATTAACAGAATTCAATTGGGTGTTCTTCAGGAATTTTCGGAGAGCGATATCTCGTAATCAGTGTATTTTAGTGGTGGGGGGGGGGTGTAAATAATTTCTTTTTAAATTCTTCAAACACAGAGTGGTTATGCAAGCGAAATGTGTGGAAAAATCGAATTTGACAAACATCAATAAAAAAAATGTATTTGTCATTTGGTGGCGGGCATTTCTTTCAATATGACTGCCAAATTTGGTGAAAGAATATCACTTTAAAAAATAAAAATAAAAATGAAAAAAAACAACATTAATTTGATAATAAAAGGGCAGATATAATCTCAAAAATTTAATTTCGAGAAATCTTGATGGTAGAAATTCACAATGGCTGGCAAAATGAAATCCAAATTGGTGGAATTTTAATTAATCGTCATTTCTTTCAGCTGGGTATGACTTTATGTGGTATATTAATCCCGAAATGACATTGTTGCTCTTAAATGAATATATTGTTAACGCGCTTTAAACATCTAGATGCAATAGACCTATTGTAGAAAATTTTAGGTACATTGAAATGTTGACAGTAAAGATAATATCATAGTTTTTAGTTACACATTGTTAACCAACCGCCCATAGATCCTTTAATGATAATAAATCATATACTTTATTCAGCTCGACGCAATATTTAAAATGATTAGATGCAGTTCGTTTAACTTGAATGTAGATATTATATCTATGTTGCATATATAGGACCTTTCCGTTGAATCATATCATAGAAGTATCTTATTTCATAGTTTTACGTATTTGTTGACATTATAAAGGTGTACTTGTTCTATTGTTCCATTTAGCCTATGCATTTTCTTGTTTCACTTGACTAAACAACTAAACAAAAATTTTTGTAGGAATGTATAGAGGCTTTTATAGATTGAACAAAAAGCTGATAAATATTGAGATGTGTGGAACATGTTCGGGGCGATTTGTAACAAATCTCAGACACGATATATATTTGATACTAGTTGAGCATCAGAACAACATGATTATTTAATTGGAAATGGGGCGCAAATAGCCAAAAGAGTCGGATAAACTCTAAACCAACTGCGTCTCCTTCACTGGGCCCCTTCAATGTCTGTCTACCTGTGGAATAACATGTACATTATTTGTATCTGTTAAATTTGTGCGGTTTATATATTAGATTAATATTATTATTTACCCATGGGCGGGGAGTGATAACGTCTTACCCCAAACAAATTGCAAAAGAAACCAGAAAGTTTCGGAGAGCGATATCTCGTATATCAGTAATGTCACTGATGAAATATATGCCCGAGACACATGTCACGCTTTATTTAAATTTTACCGATTTTACACCGATTTTAAATTATTTATCCATTAGTCAATTTAAAGAAATTTCTATTTTCGAAAAATTGATGATACAATTAATGATCGATGACAGAAAACTGACACACAATCCGGAATGACTCCAGACCAAAAATCATGGAATTTCAGGCATTTATTTTGCCGGCTAGAAGGCAAAAAGGTTGTATCTCCCAAATTACTATTTACATTTACATTTTTCACTTTACCCGTCTGCACAAAAAATCTGATTTTTAAAAGCGTATGCAATTTAATAGCGCTTTTATTTGGTGTATCTTTTATAGCACTTTCTTACGAATTAGACTATTCTTATAACAATAATGTGCGCTTTCTGCATAATAATAATAATAATAATAGTTTGTTCAGCTATACTTTTCGTTTAAAAAATGTATTCTATGACATATCTATATACATCCTTGTCGGGGGCAGTCAACTTCGACACAACAATATGATAGGACATAAAATAGATAGTGAGTAGGTACAAATACTTGGGACCCAAGATGGCGTCTTACTACACTTGAGGTCATATTTTCTTGACGTCATATGAAATTTCTGGCTTCACAGTTGTCGCAACTTTATCTATATACGGCTTTGGTCGTACGTTACTTTTGACGTCATTTCTGGATTCCTTGGTATCACTTTCCTATATGTTGATAATATATTTCTAGGCTGTAAAATTGATATTTTTGAAGTTATAAATGGTTTTCATTTTCATTATGTTGACCCAGGGGGTGAAAAGTTCAAAGTGCTGTAAAAAATTTTGCTCAACTCCGATCCGCGGGAAAAAATTTTCTGGAACACTAGGGACATAGTTGTTTCAGAAAGTGAAGAAATCATTTGGGTAGGAATTTCTTCCAACAAAGCTGGATTTGTCACCTTCTCCAACCAGCCTATTATATTCTGTCAGTGAGTCAAGTGGGGTTATTTCGATTCGTCACACGTGTTTGGAAAGGATAGGATCCCCTGCCTAACCTCGTAGGTTTCCTACCACACTCAAGGAAATCATTCATATAAAATTGTTTTATAATCATCTAATGGTTTGGATGCAGCTATGGCGGATGTGGCACCAGGCAGGATAAGCTTATTCTTCCGGACACCTGTTACCACTGTTCATCATGTATTTTGTACACAGAGAACAGTCCATGTGCTGATTACACTATTTTGCGTACACCGTTTTTAGGAGTTCGAATTTTGTCTAATGGTTTCGATTGTTTGTACATAGTTTTATTTTATTCATAACATGTTAGTCCCGAAATAACCTATTTTGCGTACAGCGTTTTTTAGGACTTTGAATTTTGTCTAATGGTTTCGATTGTTTGTACATAGTTTTATTTTATTCATAACATGTTAGTCCCGAAATAACCTATTTTGCGTACAGCGTTTTTTAGGACTTTGAATTTTGTCTTATGGTTTCGATTGTTTGTACATAGTTTTGTTTTATTCATAACATGTTAGTCCCGAAATAACCTAGTGAGTATTGAGTCGACGTTAAACCCCATTCACCTCATTTCACTTCTCTCTACTCGTGTATTTAAAATTACTAATAAAAGCTGTCAGTTGTTCGATGACTCACGTGTCAAGTTACCTTTGACTTTTGACATGTTCATATCATTCAGCGTACCGATGGGTTTCATATTTTATTCTAGGGATGTCCATGTTAAAACTTAAACAAATTTAAATCAAAATTCATGTGACATAATATAATGATTATTACAATAATTAATAAGAAATACCTGCAAAGATAAATCGACTCAATACCCAAGATATAACGAGTATTAAAGGATTTTATTATACTAGAGATGATTTTAAACATTGAGTTCGTCACTTCCTATTCAGGAAACCTGTATTACTCAGCTATCGTAGCAATGATCTCTGTGTTAAAATTATATTTGGAATGTGTTTAACCAGTTCTATCACATATGTGATAATGACTGGCACCAATATTGTCCTTTAAAAGTAGTTCATTCATATTAGATGAAAACCCTTTATTTTTAGCATGATCTTAGCAGAAGGTGGCTGATGGGATGGCATGGGTTTGTATTAGGAACAAAATTTAAACTGCTTTTGCATCGCAAATTGTTAAAGTCAGTAACACCATTAAAAGTATAACTTTACATTAATCAGTTAAAAGAAGTCAGTAAAATACTTTACGTATTTCAGATTTCGGGAGGTTAACCAGGTAACAGCTTTTTACCTAAATCTTACATAATGCAACTTTTATGAGTAAATGAAGTCAGTAACTCGTTTTATGTATTTCAGAATTGAGGAGGCTAACCGGTTGAATAGAATCGAGGTTGCGCGGGCATATCTTCAACAGATGCCAAACTCACCAGAAAATAAAAGAGTTCGTATCGAATGGTGCAAAGAGGCTCTAAGGCTGCGACATTTGGAGCTTACAAAATTGTTATACATAGATGAGTTGATTTACGACAGAGAAGGGCGTCTGGATGATATTATTAATATAGAACTGTTATCCAGTGCGATTGAATCAGACTTTGTGGAAGGTTTTGAATTTTTACTGCATCGTGGATTGTCTTTTGAAATCACCAAATGTGGGTTTTGGTGTGCGTTGTTTGAAGCTGTTCGAAAAGAGAAAATAGGAATACTTAAATATTTGTTATCATTTCCATTTCTTTGTGTTAATTCGACATTTGACGAAACTATTCTCATGGTGGCGTGTAAAAAGAAAAACTTGGAAGTCTTTTCTGTTTTGTTGAAACACCCAAATGTCAAGGACGTTATTAATTACATTTCGCTTGACGAGGGTCTTTCAATTTTACATCTATGTATAGATAGGGCAAACTGTGAGACCACGTGCCTACTGTTTGTAATGATGTTAGTAGAAGCAGGGGCTGATGTAAATATTTTATCCAATGAATTTACAACTCCTTTATTTACTGCGGCACGTAGAGGATTTATGTCTGTTTTGTCATATTTAGTAGACCACGGAGCTCATGTTTCTGTAGTGGATTTGAATCTATATACTGTTCTTCATCACATTATCACCAATCCAAACACCATTTTGTTTGTAGAGAAATTAATAAAAGCTGGACTAGAAATCAATTTACAAAATAAACTCGGTGAAACTCCATTATATCTAGCTACCAAGTACAGAAATGGATGTGCTGTGAAAATACTGTTAAATACAAATGGCTGTGATGTGAATTTATCTGACAAGGAAGGGATCACACCACTTCTTTTGGCAGTAGAACAAAATGATGTCGGAATCTTCAAACTTCTACACCATCATGGCGCTACTCTCAATAAGAAAAATGGCTGCGAAAAGTCACCACTACACCTAGCAATACAAAACAGCAATACGAATATTGTTGATATTCTATTGTATAATCATGGCTGTGATGTAAATTTGTCAGACGAAAAAGGAATCACACCCTTGTTGCTGGCAGTAGAACAAAATGAGATCGGAATCGTCACACTTCTACAAAAACATGGCGCTGACGTCAATAAGCAAAATAGCCGCAGAAGATCACCGCTACATTTGGCAATAAAAGAAGGCAGTAAACAAATTGTTGATATTTTATTAAATAATCATAGCTGCGATGTGAATTTATCAGACAAAGAGGGGATCACACCGTTGTTGCTGGCAGTAGAACAAAATGAGTTAGAAATCGTCACACTTCTACAAACACATGGCGCTGACGTCAATAAGCAAAATATCCACGGAAGGTCACCGCTACATTTGGCAATACAAAATGGCAATGCAGATATTGTTGATATTTTATTAAATGATAATGGCTGCGATGTGAATTTATCAGACAAAGAGGGGATCACACCGTTGTTGCTGGCAGTAGAACAAAATGAGATAGAAATCGTCACACTTCTACAAACACATGGCGCTGATGTCAATAAGCAAAATAGCCGCGGAAGGTCACCGCTACATTTGGCAATACAAAATGGCAATGCAGATATTGTTGATATTTTATTAAATGATAATGGCTGCGATGTGAATTTATCAGACAAAGAGGGGATCACACCGTTGTTGCTGGCAGTAGAACAAAATGAGATAGAAATCGTCACACTTCTACAAACACATGGCGCTGACGTCAATAAGCAAAATAGCCGCAGAAGGTCACCGCTACACCTGGCAATAAAAGAAGGCAGTAAACAAATTGTTGATATTTTATTAAATAATCATAGCTGCGATGTGAATTTATCAGACAAAGAGGGGATCACACCGTTGTTGCTGGCAGTAGAACAAAATGAGATAGAAATCGTCACACTTCTACAAACACATGGCGCTGATGTCAATAAGCAAAATAGTCGCGGAATGTCGCCGCTACATTTGGCAATAAAAAAAGGCAGTAAACATATTGTTGATATTTTATTAAATGATCATAGCTGCGATGTGAATTTGTTGCTGGCTGTAAACATTAATAAAACATTAATAAAAGCTGGACTAGAAATCAATTTACAAAATAAACTCGGTGAAACTCCATTATATCTAGCTACCAAGTACAGAAATGGGTGTGCTGTGAAAATACTGTTAAATACAAATGGCTGTGATGTGAATTTATCTGACAAGGAAGGGATCACACCACTTCTTTTGGCAGCAGAACAAAATGATGTCGAAATCTTCAAACTTCTACACCATCATGGCGCTACTCTCAATAAGAAGAATGGCTGCGAAAAGTCACCACTACACCTAGCAATACAAAACGGCAATACGAATATTGTTGATATTCTATTGTATAATCATGGCTGTGATGTAAATTTGTCAGACGAAAAAGGAATCACACCCTTGTTGCTTGCAGTAGAACAAAATGAGAACGGAATCGCCAAACTTCTACACCAACATGGCACTGATGTCAATAAGCAAAATAGCCGAGGAATGTCACCGCTACACCTGGCAATACAAAATGGCAATGCAAATATTGTTGATATTCTATTAAATGATCATGGCTGTGATGTAAATTTGTCAGATGAAAATGGTATCACACCATTGATGTTTGCTGTAGACATCCGAAACACAGAACTCATCAAACGTCTGCTTGAACATGGAGTTGACGTCAATAAACAAGATAACGGCGGTAGATCAGCCATTTCTTACTGCTTCCATAACCATGGTCTTTCCCACCGTTCTTTCTTCTGGGATAATTGGGAAACCATCGATATAATGAAGTTGCTGGAGAGTTTTGGTGTGGAATTTAGAACACAAAATCCGGGCAATAAATTAGTAAAAAACATTTTGAAGATTTCCGAAATTGGATATTTTCAGCATTTAGTTGATTCCAATAAGATCAATTATGATAATATTGATAAAAATGGTGATAATATTTTACATTTATTGGCCAGGATGTGTAATTCCCCTGTAATTCCCTTGGATGTTTCTTTAGGCGTCTTTCTGAATGATGAAGGCGTTGATGTTAACCTCATAAATTCAATGGGTAAAACACCATTGATGGTTGCAGCTGTTTTGAACAACGTCCCGTACATGAAAGCCTTGTTGGATTACGGCTGTAAGACAGATACCCAGGATTGTCACGGGCATACTGCTTTACATCTCTGTGTTGTGGGAATCGCGTTTCGTCGAAAGAACAAAGGCTTTTTTGGCTATGAACTGAATCAAGAATGTTTAGACGCTGTATTGTGTAAAGATATAGATGTTGATGAACAAGATAACGAAGGACGGACCGCCTTAATACTGGCCGCTAAATTCCGGGAAGATAACTTGGTGAAAAAGCTGTTAATAGCTGGTGGAGATGTTAAGATTTTAGATAAATCGGGAAAATCAATGCTAGAATATATGGACTTCTATAGAATAATAGATCTTAAAATCTGTAAGTGCATTATGCGTAGTGGTGGTGTGAATGTAAGAGACAGAACAGGGAGCACTATGATGGACTACGCCTTGTATTTTTTTGAACTGCATCAGTTATCTCATGCCCAGGAGATAATTTCCTACCTAGTAGCTGCAAACCATTGCTTGAAGAATGGGCATGACTGGAGTTATTTCGATCAGATCGAAGATTCCACATCTAATATAATTAGTGATCTTAGGAAACTGATGTATGAAAGTGGAGCCGAGAGGGTCGACATTGTTTCTAAGTTAATTTTTTTACTAGACGAGGACAAAGATATGGACACCGACAAACAGACAAGTGAATCATTGTCCAAAGAATCGGAATTTCATTCATTTTGTAATAACTTGTCCTTAAAGTCAATGTGTAGGAGAGTTATTAGGCAACATTTGGGGTCAAACATACAAGAAAAGGTTACACAGCTCAAGCTTCCAATAATAATACAGAATTTTATTCTATTAAAATCTTACTTGGCAGATAAATATTTCAGTCTAGAAACAGATGATGATGATGATGATGATGATGATGATGATGATGATGACGACGACGACGATGACGACGACGACGACGACGATGATGATGATGATTTGGACGCTTTGTGTCTAGATTATTACCATCGATACTATGAACCTTCACCATCTTCATTATTCTCATCATCACCATCATTATCACCACACTCAGCTGTATCAAACTCATCATCATCATTATCATCACCACACTCAACTGTATCAAACTCATTATCATCATCACTATAGTCGTCTGAGTTTACGCGTGGTCGCTATAAGCGTACCGTAAGAAATTCCACCAGTTATATTAATATACAATAACACTTCTCGGAACCGTGTCTGACATGCTAAATGTGGAGCTCTTTATAGAAAAGTTAATTTCAGTCACGGGGAAAAGGGTCAAACTTAATGCTAATGTATGCACAGAAATCCGTACTGAGAACCGTCCGTTATTATCAAACTTATCACTTTAGCAATGTAACAGGGACAGATTCTTGAATTTTGTCGCGGCCTGGAACGGTTCCGTACTCGGTACGCTGATCGCGACCAACGGTAAACGCAGCTATAGTCACTCTCAATCATCAGCAGCAGTCATCACCACTGTCATCATCATACGATCGTAGTCGTCTTGTTCCTCATCTCAGTAACACCTTTCATCTTTTTTAATCAGTTTTTCAAATGGATCGATATTTTGTTAAGAGTTTGGTGTGCGATATGTCTACCTGAACCCACTTGTAAATTGGGGCCGCACCTTTATAAAGGAGGAGTTAGTAGTTACAATCACAAAAAGAACATTACAGAAGTTTTATGCCTATTGCAGATGGGGGGGGGGGGGTGGATGGCCGAATGGTTAGCACTGCGCGCTGTATTATACGGTCTGTCATTGAGTCAACTGGCGGGGTTTCGATTCCTCGGTTGTACGTGACAAGGAGAAGGGTCGCCTGTCCATCCTCGTGCGTTTTCTCCGGGTCCTCCGGTTTCCTCCCACTGCTAAAGACCCCTAACACAAGTGAATTATTGAAATAAAATTGAACCATATGTTAGTCCCGAAATGACCTAGTTTGTGTCGAGTGGACGTTAAACCCCATTTCTCTCTCTCTCTCTCTCTCCTTTTGCAGATCTTTCGTCCGGCTTCAAATGTTATATAAATTATTAGTTACACATTTATTCACATGACAAGCCAATAATCAACTCTCTAGACAACTGGATGGTCGAGATTTATATGTATTTAAACATCCGCGAATTCAACGATAAAATGGAAATCGAGGCTAAGTCGCGGTTGTCAAGTGCCGTTTCTACGATAATGAACGATCTACGCACTATCTTAAAAAATTCATTACTTCGTTCAGAATGAAGTAATTTGAATGAAAATTTCAATATATTCATTTTGCATTATCTATTTTTGAGCTATTATAGCAAGAACGACCAGCTCTTTATCGCAATCTTACATAAAGTATCTTTAAACCCTTTAAAAAAAAAGAGAGAGAGAGGGGGGGGGGTAACATACACTCCACACAAACTAGGTCATTTTAGGACTAACATATAGTGTGTTTTAATATATTTAAGCTGGTCCTTTATAAATAGATAGTCTTGCTAGGGATAAGATAACATTCATTCAAATGCGCTCTATATCAGACATAACTTGTGGAGGGTGCTCGGTTGTCAGTCCGGAACGTCCCGAATTGACAGCATTGCAGTCAAGTGATATGAAATTCAGCCCTGTGACAATTCTGCCAGTTCCGACAGCTGAGGTGGTGGGAATGAAATCGTGACGTATTTTAAGTAACAAATATGTTTCAGTTGTCAGGATTGGTTGAGATATTTTTTTATGCAGTCGGCACATGCGTTGTACTCAGCAATTCCCCCTTTTACTTGCTAGACATTATTTTTGGAATTGAGATAAATCAATTCCGGAACGTTCAATCAAGTATCTCCATGCCATAGTGTAGTAGATTCACACAGTATATTAACTAAATGAATGGAAATAATGTACATCAACTGTTAAATTGTTACTATTATTATACTACTCTTTTTACAATTGTTCTAAGACTTTTAAATTGAATAAATATTAGTAAAAAAAAAATGGCAAACGGTGACGTTATATTGTTATCTGGAGAGATGCGCAATAGACTGAAAACGGAAACGTTTGAATGTAAATCAGTTTATATACATTCATATTACATTATTATATCCGTTGCGACCCATTTGTGTCAATTTCTAGATCCCAAATATATTCGTCAAAAAAAAGTAGGGGATATTGAAATGCAAATATTTATGCAGGTTGCGATATGATAGTCATGGACATTTGACATGCTTTGAGAGTATGTTCACAGATGAAGAACTTATCGCCCCAACAGAACCACTGAGCTGCACATGCGACACTCAATAGCGCCATACACGTGGGGGAGGTTCATTGTCAAATTTGACACTTCAAGGAAGGGTTGATGAAAACTGCCGCGTGCTGGTTAATATATCAATGTTCGTTTTCCTATCGGTTCTTACATAAGATTTGCTGTTTATCGTATCTTTGCTTTAGCGTGTTACGTTTAACTTGATCGGGAGACGTCAACCGACAACACTGCAAAAATTGGCCGTGGCACTGCAAGAGGAGTGGGTTAGATTGCCCCAAATCGTGATTGGACGGTTGATTCGGAGCATGCCACGACGAATTGCTGAATGTCTGAGGATTGGTGGAGCAATTACTCATTATTAAGACAATAATGGTTACCTCTAATAAAAACAGCAGTGCATTTCCGTAGTTTTGTATTGTTTCTGAATATCTCCTACTTTTTTGAAGAGTATATATGCGATTTAGCTTCTTTAACTACCTCTATACCAAGGAAGTTTTAAGTGTAAAGTGTACCACTTATTGTTATCGAAATATTCAAATATCTAAAACTAGACTTGACATCAAATCTGTATTTGGAAGTATTCTCTTCAAACGAGATGATTAATTCGTTCAAACGAGATAATTAATTCGTCCAAACGAAATAATTAATTCGTCCAAACGAAATAATTAATTCGTTCAAACGAGATACTAACTCGTTCAAACGAGATACTAACTCGTTTCAACGAGATACTAACTCGTTTAAACGAGATAATTAATTCGTTCAAACGTGATATCAATTCGTTCAAACGAGATGATATATTCGTTCAAACTAGATAATTAATTCGTTCAAACGAGATACTAATTCGTTCAAACGAGATACCAATTTGTTCAAACGAGATAACAATTCGTTGAAACGAGATAATTAATTCGTTCAATCGAGATACCAATACGTTCAAACGAGATACTAATTCGTTGAAACGAGATACTAATTCGTTCAAACGGATTAATATTTTTTTTTTGTTTGGCACTAATGGGCCACCGTACTTTGTCACTGCAAAAATCCCTTGAAAACGTACACCCGCGTGTTATCATGTAAACGAAAATTTAAATTTCATCACTTTCTTGCCCGATCGTGGTTACACCTACAGATAAAACGGTAAAAGTTGGGGACAGCTGTTATCGCTATTGATGCTCTGATCTATGTAGTACAGTAGTCGAGCCTTAGATTTTCGATTTGCCTTCCTGTTTTCATGTAGTGTGAGATTTCTGCGTCCTACGTACATGTCCGCCATTTTATTTTCAAACGTGATAGTGCAGACCATTCATATCTTTCGACGAGCGATGCGAATAATCATTAAACTGACAACTTTTACCGGAACCAGCACCGGATCGGGTGGGGGGGGGGCAAAGTGGGACAAATGTCCCGGGCCCCCCAAATTTAGAGCCCCCCCCCCCGACGGAGCCAATCAGTACCTGGGCTGAGAGCGCGAGGATTGGGGGCCTGGGCAGTAAGGTTTATTGGGGGCCCCGGGACTGGTAGGTACCTACAGATATTCGGGGGCCCAGAAAATCGCTGCCTAAATTGTCTCAGATGTACTGAAATTAATCCTAATTTTAAAATAAAATTCATGGAGGAAAACACCCCAGGCACTCAAGGGGGCGGAGTACATACTAGTACGATCCGCGGTCAGTACGTACAATTTGAACAAACAACAATGGGGCCCCCATTGTCCCGGGCCCCCCACAGGGGAAATCCGGCACTGACCGGAACATTATATCGACATGTAAACGTTTCATTTACATCACCATACATACAATTATGTCATATTCCGTTTAGTAATAAAACACTTCACCGTTTTATAAACAGTTTTTTCTTTAATGTGTCTTCCCCCCCCCCACCATTTCAAACGGTGAAAACTCGTTTTAGTTAAACATACATTATGCAAGATCTAAATCTGTCTATTGCAGGTCTTTCTTTAGGCCTGAAATGTTATCTAAATTATTAATTAGACATTAATTAACCTATCCAGACCATAATCAACTCTCGATGGCATCGCTAGCCTGCCATATTTAGTGGATTATGAGCCGGTTTACTGCATAACTTTCCTTCACGATTTTATGATTAAATGGATAATCGAGACTATGCTGTTTATCGTACTGACTTTAGTAATGATGATCGAGGCTATGCGGAAATTCCAATCGCTTAGTTCTCGGTTCATAAGCTACATAAATATAACAGGAACATAAATATAACAGGAACATAAACAATAACAGGAACAATAACATCAATAAAGTACATGAATAGTTTAAGATAATCATTCCAGCCATTTGACACGGCAGCGACAGAACTCGGGTGAGTCCATACGCCGGTCTCCGCTCGTCTGTCCCCTGGTCTCAGTGTTAGTCAACTCACGGTTATATACCTTTCAACATAAATAGTTTAAGATAGCCACGGCAGCGGCGGAACTCTGGTGAGTCCATACGTCGGTCTCCACTCGACACAAACTAGGTCATTTCGGGACTAACATATGGTTTAATTTTATTTCAATAATTCGCTTGCGCGTAGGGGTCTTTAGCAGTGGGAGCAAACCGGAGGGTCCGGAGAAAACCCACAAGCTTGGATCTTAGCAATGGTCGTGTCGCAGACATAGGTATAGTAGTTGCGTGTGATGGCGGCTTAAGTTGAATTGTGATCGTGACAAATCTAGTATATAACCACTGTGTTCATTATGTTGTCGGCGACATATAAAAGAATTTTTGTTCAAATCACTTGGTCACTGATAAACAATGAAAAATGTTGTTAAATAAAAGATCAGTACGTATATATTAATGTTAAAGAAATTATTGTTGTTTTGTTGGAGATATCGTGGTGATTCTTTTTATTGTTGTTATTCAAACAGTGGTTAGCGGAATATATTATTGAAGCAATGGTTACGAAATATCGTGGTGTTGTTTTTATTTTTGTTATTAAAGCAGTGGCTAGGGGAATATATTATTGAAGCAATGGTTACGAAATATCGTTATGTTTTTTATTGTTGTAATTAAAGCAGTGCCTAGCGGAATATATTCTTTAAGCAATGGTCAAGAAATATCGTGGTGTTGTTTTTATTTTTGTTATTAAAGCAGTGGCTAGGGGAATATATTATTGAAGCAATGGTTGCGAGATATCGTGGTGGGTTTTTTTTATATTTTTGTTATTAAAGCAGTGGCTAGGGGAATATATTATTGAAGCAATGGTTACGAAATAACGTGGTGGGTTTTTTTATTGTTGTTATTAAAGCAGTGGCGAGCGGAATATATTCTTCAAGCAATGGTAAAGAAATATCGTGGTGTTGTTTTTATTTTTGTTATTAAAGCAGTGGCTAGGGGAATATATTATTGAAGCAATGGTTACGAGATATCGTGGTTGTTTTTTTTTATATTTTTGTTATTAAAGCAGTCGCTACGGGAATATATTATTGAAGCATTGGTTACGAAATATCGTGGTGGTTTTTTTTATTGTTGTTATCAAAGCAGTGGCTAGGGGAATATATTATTGAAGCAATGGTTACGAAATATCGTGGTGTTTTTTTTATTGTTGTTATTAAAGCAGTGGCTAGCGGAATATATTCGTGAAGCAATGGTTACGAGATGTGGTGTTTTTGTATTGTTGTCATTCAAGCAGTGGCTAGCGAAATATGTTCTTGAAGCAATGGTTACGAGATATCATGGTGGGTATTTTTATAGATGATATTAAATCAGCGACTAGGGGGATATATTCTTGAAGCATGGTTGTGAGCATTTTCAGCCCAATAACCATACATGTCGAATTAGGTAAAAAAAAAACCAGTACAATATCTGTCCTAAACCACAGACAGTGGGTTGGGGGGGGGGCGGAATATCCCGATGAACGTTTAAGGCCAACACAGCGTCTTACTCACTTATCCACCGTGGTTGGACAAAACTAGGTGGATGAATGACAGGTGGCCTTGTATAGGGCGATTTGTCAGGTAGGCCGAGCTTATACTAATCGCAAGACAACGCCTGAGCCACGAGTATCAACAAGAGGGGCTACGAGCGAGACAGACAGATGGACCTGTCCACCTACTACCAGCTATCGTACAACATTGCATTGTATCAATCCTTTGATAGTACCTTTTTACTATACCTGTGAAAAAAGCGACGCGTGACATGACGACGTTGTTCTCGGTGTCGTATTTCACAACAGGCGACCAACAAGCTTTATACTTTAAATAGAATCGGGGATTCCCTTAAAATGACGTAAACGTCGTAGTACAAACCCTTTATATTTATATTTCCTTTACGAAACCAATAGCAGTAACATCCTATTTGATTTTATGTGAATGTTTAAGTTTTGTGGTCAGAATGGACGTTGATCAGTCAAGGTAGGCTACACGTAACTTATTAAACATTCTAATTGATATTATGTTCACCTCGTGGATTTAGACTCTTTCTTACAATACATTGTTTTAAGGTATATACGAATAAAACGTTTATAAGCCATGTTAAACAACAGTGGCCTAATATCCCTCCATCTCAAAATCATAAATATTCACCAATACCTGGCAGAAAATATAAATTCAAACCCCTTTCTTCGAGTCTAGGCCAAAAAGTCAACATAGATAGCCATGCAAAAAGGGGTAAATAAGGAAAGAGGGAGAAAGATTAAAATACCTTTGGCCCTTGTTTCGTGAGTGGTGATCTGTGCCCATTTAGACCTTTTCCATTTACTTCCATTGGGTGGGGGGATTGGATGGCCGAATGATTAGCATGTGCGCGCTGTATCATCAGGTCTGCCATTGAGTCAACTGGTGTGGTTTCGAATCCCCGGTTGTACGTGGCAAGGAGTATGGTCGCCTGTCCAACCTCATGGGTTTTCTCCGGGTACTCCGGTTTATTCCCACTGCTAAAAGACCACTACGCGCAAGCGAATTATTGAAATATAATTGAACCATGTGTTAGTCCCGAAATGGCCTAGTTTGTGTCAAGTGGACGTTAAACCCCACCTCTCTCTCTGTCTCTCTCTCTCTCTCTCTCTCTCTCATTTGCTTCCTGGTGTAGGCGGGGTGGTTGGTGTAATATAAAGTTAATGTGGTCTGATCTTACAGTAGTTATCTCCCATTAATCAGTAAGCATGTTGTTTACATTAAGTTACGCTCTCTTGCTATGTTTGCACAACAAATCAACATGTCATACATATCCTGGAACATGTACTGTATTTTATCAAACTAAGAACCCGTCACAGTTAGGCACAGGAACTTAAAGGGATTAAAATAGAACCGATGTCTGTGATTCTCCAAAAACGGCGACTGACGAACGCCAAAAAAAACCAACAAAGACGGATAATGCCACTTGATGATCAGGATTCCTTTATTTCCCGCGTATTTTTTATTCTGTTGTAAAAATTAGAACTACCAGGAAATTCACAACGAAACGAAGAAATGCAATGTGCTAATAATACGAGCTAGAAGGCGTATTTTTTAAAGGACATTTAAAAACATGTCTTCTATAATTCACTTAAACATACATTATGCAAGAGCTAAATCTGCCTATTGCAGGTCTTTCTTTAGGCCTGAAATGTTATCTAAATTATTAATTAGACATTAATTAACTTTCCAGACCATA